GTCTACAAGAGACCCACCTCAGGATAAAAGACCTGCACAGGCTGAAAGTGAAGGGCTGGAAACAAATCTTCCAAGCAAATGGAAAGGAAAAAAAAGCAGGGGTAGCAATACTCATATCAGACAAAATAGACTTCCAAAAAAGGGTCATAAAGAGAGACCCAGAAGGTCACTTCATAATGCTCAAGGGAACAATCCACCAAGAAGACATAAATATTGTAAATATATATGCACCCAATATAGGAGCACCCAAATACATAAAGAAAATCTTAGAGGACTTCAAGAAAACAACACAATTATAGTGGGAGATTTTAACACCCCACTGTCAAAAATGGACAGATCTTCCAAACAAAATATCAACAAAGATATTGTGGCATTGAACAATACCCTTGATGAAATGGGCTTTACATTATATATACAGAGCCCTCCATCCCAAAGAAGCTAAATATACATTCTTTTCAAATGTACACAGAGGATTTTCAAAGATAGACCACATGATAGGACACAAAACAAGCCTCAAGAATTTCAAAAAAATTGAAATCATACCAAGCATTATCACGGACCACAAGTGACTGAAGCTAGACACCAACCCCAAGGAAAAAAACCCAAAACACTCAAAATCATGGAGATTAAATAGCATGCTATTAAACAATGAATGGGTCAAGAATGAAATTAGGGAAGTAATCAAAAGGTTTCTGGAAACAAATGAAAACGAACTCACAACAACCCAAAACTTATGGGACACAGCCAAGGCAGTCCTGAGAGGGAAGTTCATAGCGATACAGGCCCACCTAAAAAAGTTAGAAACATTCCAAACAAACAACCTAACCCTACGTCTACAAGAACTTGAGGAACAACAACAAAGACAGCCCAGAGCAAGCAGAAGGAAGGAAATAACCAAGATCAGAGCAGAATTAAATGACATGGAGACTAAAAGCACAATTCTAAGGATCAATGAATCCAAGAGCTGGTTCTTTGAAAAGATAAACAAAATCGACAAGCCTTTAAGCAGACTCATCAAGAAAAAAAAAGAGAAGACCCAAATAAACACAATCAGAAATGAAAGAGGAGAGATTACAACAGATACCACAGAAATACAAAGGATTGTAAGAAATTACTACGAAGAACTGTATGCCAAGAAATTTGAAAACCTAGGTGAAATGGACAAATTCCTACAAAAATATAATCTTCCAAAACTCAATGAAAAAGAAGCAGAAAGCCTGAACAGACCAATAACAACAAAAGAAATTGAAGCAGTTATCAAAAAAATCCCAACACACAAAAGCCCTGGGCCTGATGGTTTCACAGGAGAATTCTACAAAGCATTCAAGGAAGAGCTAACCCCTATCCTTCACAAACTATTTCAAAAACTCCAAAAAGATGGAAGACTCCCAAACTCTTTTTATGAGGCCAACATCATCCTAATTCCAAAACCAGATAAAGACACAACAAAGAAAGAAGACTTCAGGCTAATGTTGCTGATGAACATTGACACTAAAATCCTCAACAAAATACTGGCAAACCACATCCAACAATACATTAAAAACATCATACACCATGACCAAGTGGGATTCATTCCAGGGATGCAAGGATGGTACAATATTCACAAATCAGTAAATGTAATACATCACATAAACAGAAGCAAAGACAAAAACCACATGATCATATCAATAGATGCAGAAAAAGCATTTGATAAGGTACAGCATGCATTTATGATACAAACACTCAGCAAAGTGGGAATAGAGGGAACATTCCTCAACATAATAAAGGCCATATATAAGAGACCTACAGCCAACATCATACTCAATGGGCAAAAACTAAAATCTTTTCCACTAAGATCAGGAACAAGACAAGGATGTCCACTTTCACCACTTCTATTCAATATAGTACTGGAAGTTTTAGCCACAGCAATCAGACAAGAAAAAGAAATAAAAGGCATCCAAATTGGAAAGAAGGAAACAAAATTGTCACTGTTTGCAGATGACATGATAGTGTACATAGAAAATCTTATAGACTCCACCAAAAAACTGCTTGACCTAATAAACGAATTTGGCAAAACAGCGGGATACAAAGTCAATATCCAGAAATCAAAGGCATTTCTGTACACCAACAATGAAACAGCAAAAGCAGAAATCAAGAAAAAAACTCCCATTTGAAATAGCAAAAAGAAAAATAAAATATCTAGGAATAAACCAAACCAAAGAGGTAAAAGACCTGTATTCAGAAAACTATGTAACACTCAGGAAAGAAATCAAGGAAGACACAAACAAATGGAAACATATACTGTGTTCATGGATTGGAAGAATTAATATCAAAATGTCCATACTACCCAAAGCAATTTACACATTCAATGCAATTCCTATTAAAGTACCAACAGCATATTTCACAGACATAGAACAAACACTTCAAAAATTTATATGGAATCATAAAATCATAAATGACCCCGAATAGCTGCTGCAATTTTGAGAAAGAAAAATAAAGTAGGAGGGATCACAATACCTGACACTAAACTATACTACAAGGCCACTGTAATCAAAACAGCCTGGTACTGGCATAAAAACAGGCACATGGACCAATGGAACAGAACAGAGAGCCCAGAAATAAACCCAAGTCTCTATGGTCAATTAATATGTGACAAAGGAGGCAGCAACATAAAATGGAGTAAAAACAGCCTCTTCAACAAATGGTGTTGGGAGAACTGGACAGACACGTGCAAAAAAATGAAACTTGAACACCAACTTACACCATATACAAAAATAAATTCAAGGTGGATAAAAGACTTAAATATAAAACGTAACACCATTAAAGTCCTAGAGGAGAGTGTAGGTAGGAAAATCTCATATATTTCACGAAGAAACTTTTTTAATGACTTGTCTCCTACAGCAAGGGACATAAAGGAAAGAATAAACAAATGGGACCTCATCAAAATAAAAAGCTTCTGCACAGCTAAAGAAAACAGTATCAAAATTAAAAGAGAACCAACTGTATGGGAAAACATATTTGCCAATGATATCTCAGACAAGGGTTTAATATCCAAAATATATAAAGAACTTACATGGCTGCACTCTAAGAAGACAAGGAATCCAATTAAAAAGTGGGCAAAGGACTTGAACAGACACTTCTCCAAGGAGGACATACAGACAATCCAAAAGACACATGAAACGATGTTCAATATCGCTGGCTATCAGATAGATGCAAATTAAAACCACAATGAGATACCACTTCACACCAGTCAGAATGGCCATCATAAACAAAGCAACAAACAACAAGTGTTGGAGAGGTTGTGGAGAAAAGGGGTCCCCAGTGCACTGTTGGTGGGACTGCAGACTGGTACAACCACTATGGAAAGCAGTATGGAACTTCCTCAGAAAACTAAAAATGGATCTGCCTTTTGACCCTGCAATTCCACTGCTGGGACTCTATCCTAAGAATACGAAAACACCAATCCAAAAAGAACCTATGCATCCCAATGTTCATAGCAGCACAATTTACAATAGCTAGATGCTGGAAGCAACCAAGATGCCCATCAGTAAATGAATGGATCAAAAAACTATGGTACATTTACACAATGGAATTCTATGCAGCAGACAGAAAAAAGGAGCTCCTACCCTTTGCAACAGCATGGATGGAGCTGGAAAACATTATGCTAAGTGAAACAAGCTAGGCAGTGAAAGACAAATACCATATGATCTCACCTTTAACAGGAACCTAAACAACAAAACAAAGAAACAAGCAAAATATAACCAAAGACACTGAAATAGAGGATAGAATGACAGTGACCACAGAGGAGAGTAGAGGGAATTTTAGGGGACATTGGGAAGGGTTTATGGGAACAAACTTAAAGGACACATGGTCAAAAACTAGGGGGAGGGTGGTAATGGGAGGGAAGTGGGGAGGGGGGCTGGACTGGGAGTAAAAAGGAGAAAACTGTATTTAAAAAAAAATAAGATAATTTTGTCTTATCAAACAAATAGCACTACTCTCTAGCCACAGTATCAATATGATCACAGAAGCTCAGCAAAGGTTAAATAGCCAAGTAACAGAAGACCTAGTGATGGGAACTACACAAATACAAAAAAAAAAAAAATACTATAGCAAATAGTTTTTTTCTCTAGGAACAAAATCAGATTTTGAAGCAACTCTACTTAGATTAGATGACTTCATATTGAAAGGATTCTTCTCGATTTAAAATTATGCTTCCTATCTGAAGTTTGTATGGATCATTTTAAATCATGCTTCTTTTTTTTCTTTTATTGGGATGACATGTAAGTTTCAGGTGTCCAATTCCCTAGTCTGTTACATTGTGTGTTCACCACCCAAAGTCAAGTCTCCTTCCATCACCATGTATCCCACCTTTATGGGTTTTTACCTCCCTCCTTCCCCCTTTTCCTCTGCTAACCACCATACTATCGTCTGTCTATGAGGTTTTCTGGTTTTGTTTTTGCTTTTTTTGGTATCTTCCCTAGTAGTTCAGTAAAATGCAGCTATACAAACAAACAAGTCAATGAATAAACATGAATCTCTTGCTCTTCATTTGTAAAAATAAAGTCATTACCTTGAACTACTCAAAGTTTTTGAAGGGAGTGAATCAGGTAATACAGGTGAAAAAGTTTACAAAATTTTAGATAAATACATTTTTAGTTGCTTCACTTTTCTACAGCCTACAGCTACTATCTTTTGCCACTAGATGGCAACGCTGCTTCAGTAAATTATTGTGCCAAGGAAAAAGTCTGGATCTTATATAACTTTTTAAAGTAAAATGTGTAAAATTAAATCACAGGAATTTTCCTGGCAACTAATGCACTTATAAGATAAAACTTTTGACACTTAAAAGGAGCTGTGATAATTTCACATTCTGTAAGAAATAAAAGTGCTAATGGTGCCTTTACTTTTCATTTTAAAAATCTTCATCTGAATTAAGAAATGTAGGAAATCCTGTGAAAAGGACACTATATATAAGGAAAGATATTTGTTGATAGCTAATAAAAAATCAAAATATTTACCTCCGACCCCAAACTGAGAGAAATGATCTCATCCTCAAAAGCAGAATGTGTGTCAATATGAGCAGGAATTCCTGAGATGGGAGACAGGATAATATGTTACTTCATTTTTTTTCCTTTTAATAGAGTCAAGACATCTCTAAATATAGCCTCACACTATTATGGTGAAAACACTGATAATTGGGAATACACTATAATTTTAGTTAAAAGGAAACATTTAGGGTCAATGTGACTAAATACATAAACTAAACTAAATATATGCTAAAAGTATCTTAACTTCATGTTCAAGTGAGACTTGATTCTAAAAGCAAGGCTTGAAAGTCACCGCTTAACTAAAACATTTACTCAACCCCAGCCTAAGAGAAAGGTATGAGAAATAAATAACAAAGTCATTTTTTCTCTTAAACATTCAGTTCCCAAGAACAAAAGCAATAGCCAAGTAGGAAAGCTAAGCATTCAAATAATTAAGATATGGTTTCCACCACCAATCTCTCAATCTATGTTAACTAAGCATCTCTAAGTGAAAGGAACTTTGCTACCTGGTGAGACTACATAAAGCAAATAAGGCAGTCCCTGTTCTCAGGGAGCCTACAGACCACTGTTAAGACTGTTTGGCAAATAAGCAATCATAATACAGGGTGATAAATGCAGGGAAAAAATCTGTAACTAGCCCTGGCTGGCGTAGCTCAGTGGATTGAGCGCGGGTTGGGAACCAAAGTGTCCCAGGTTTGATTCCCAGCCAGGGTACATTCCTGGGTTGCAGGCCATAACTCCCAGCAACCGCACATTGATGTCTCTCTCTCTCTCTCTCTCCCTCCCTAAAAATAAATACATAAAATCTTTAAAAAAAAAAGAAATCCATATTAAAACATATAATAGATATAAAAATTATGAAAAAAAACACCTGTAACTGCTGCCATTAATAAACTTTTAAGATCATTCGATTACTACAAATATCAGATGAAGATGCTGCTAACAAGTATAAAAAAATCAATAATCTAAAGATTTTTCAGTAACATGTCATCCTAGAATTGTCTTCCACATTCTCAACAGAAAAAAAAAGAACATCATCCAACCAGCTACCCTTTTTCTCTGTACAGGCATAGCTCAATTCCAGACCACTACAATAAAGTGAGTCATAATATTTTTGCTGGCGAAGGGTGTCTTCAATTTGCAGAAAGTGCCAACATCTGTAACATGATAAAGCAAAAGGCAATAAAACAAGGTATGCCAGCATTTGCAAATTACTTGGTTTCTTCCATTATACATGTCACCTATGTTTTTAAAGCAATCTTCTCCCTCTCTAAATAAAATATTGAGAAGGGAACAAAGAAAGTCAAAAATAAGCAATTGGGTCTTATTACACTTTGAGATGCAAGTTTCTCAGGAGACTGACACAGATTTGCAAGGGATTAAAGTAAACACAGCAAAACATAAGCAAGTTATTCTAAGAGTATGGGCTAAAAAATAGTACCTTTGATCTTAGTTATATTCTGCTTAGTTATGAATTGACTGTAATTTTAAAAGAAGAAATACTCACCATGCCCCGGTTCATACTCGTTCACAGTCAATTGATCAGGTTTATGCCTAATGATACCTTCCTTCAACCATTTCTCCAAAACGCTATCACAAATGTCAGGAAGACCTGAAGTCATTTGACATAAAGGTGAAACACATTAAAATATTTACTTTGCATATTTTACCCAAGAATAAAAAATAGTCACTGTGATAAAAATCAAGCAGCTTTTAATTTAGTAATCATATCCAAATATAACAATAAACCCACAAGCAAGGCAAAATAGAAAGAAAACCTTCCTAAGAATCTTTTAAAGTATATGGGGGGAATGGGGCAATTGTAATAACATTATCAATAAAATATATTTTTTTAAAAAAAGAAAAAATTAATAAACCTGTGTGCATGTGAATACAGATGAATGCTCAAAAATAAATAAATAAATAAAGTTATATTGGTTTTATCAAATTAAACATCCAAAAATAACAATTTTGTTGACTACAATTTCGATATTTTGTAAAATAACAATAAAAGTATAAAATTTTCTATAATTTTCCATGTTCTATGCTATAAATTAAACTGATCACTTTTTAAATTTAAATTATTCAATATGTTTTAAATCTATTTTAAATTATTTCTCTTAAAAAAAAACTTTTCACAGTGGAACTAACTTTCACTGAAGTCATAAATGTTATTTCATGGCAGAAGGCAATGTTTAAATAAGACCAAAGTCATAAAAATACAGATAAATTAAACTGAACAAACAATTCAATCAAAAGATTAATATCCACATTATATGGTAAATTCTTAATAAAAAATTAAACATTAGAAAAAAACTGGTGAAAATATGAAAAAGAATTCACAGGGAAAGAAATAAAAATGACCAGTCTCACCACTAATCAGGTAATTATAAATTTAAAAATTTAACAATTATCAGATGTTGATTAGGAAGCAGGGAAGGAGTGCACAGTTGGTAGGAATAGTGTGGTATAGTTGTTTTAGGGGCAATTTGTCAGTATCTAGTAACATTTTTCTAAATCCTCAGCCAAGGATATGCCTTTGTAGATTTTTTAAAGAGAGAGAGAAACATCAATGTGAGAGAAAAACATCATTTGGTTGCTTCCCATATGTGCCCTGACCCGGAATTTCACCCGTAACCTAGGTATGTGCCCTGACTGGGAATGGTACCCGCAACCCTTCGGTGTACAGGACGACACTTCAACCAACTGAGCCACCCGGACAGGGCTCTATTAACATTTTTAAATAAACATAACTGACATAATTCTAATTTACTAATCTCCCTTTAGAAACTCATGGTTGATGCATAAAGAGGCATGGACAAAGATATTCACTGAAGCACTACTTGTAAAAAAGCTAAAAACTAGAAAAAAGTCTATCAAAAGGGAACTAATTGAATAAGCTACTATTATGATTTAAAAAAATGAAAAACTATATAAGGTCTCCAAGATATATCATAAAGGGACAAGAACAAGTTGGAGCACTACATGTAATATATGAATATACAACTTATACAATATAATGCTACATATCTATAACTATACACTCTTAAATTTGGATATAAACTCATTTTGTAAAGGTTTGGAATAATATATGCTAAGCTGTTAATGGTATTACTTTTAAGAAGAAGTATGTAAGTACAAACAGTGTTCAAGAGAAACTTTAGCTTTATTTGTATGCATGAAGTTTATTAACACAAAACTGCACTATCTAGCTAATTAAAATGTTTTAAGTTTAATGAACTGTTTTGAAAGCTTACCAAAATGACAAATGGAACACCCTAAACTATGATATATTTCTAATATATTAAATTTTTTCTGGACCAGCATTAATTAACAATTACTTACCCCCAGGTAATGGCTTGTCTTTATCTACATTGTTATTCTCATAGTGGAATTCATAACCAAAGTGCTTTACCCTTCTGTGTTTTAAGGATTTTTGAACTGTATGAAGAGAAGAAAGTAAACTATTTGCTAAAAAAGAATTTCATTCCTTCATGTATTTCAAAGTCAACATTATAAGTAAGGATTGCTTTAGTAACAGTAACTTTTGTTAACTACTAAATTATTGTCTTTACTAAAATTAATCATTCTATCTCATAACTTAAGAGTTTTTCATCCAATCAATCTGAAAGACATGTACACTGCCACTCACTCACAAGACTACTAATGATCTGGAAAGAGTCAGAGTAACTAATAAGCAAATATGTCCAGAAGGCTCTAACTGAACAATAAAGGAATGGCAATGCATGACATGCTGATTCCTCACAGGAAATCTCCTTCTGAAGGAGAGGATCAAATAAGATGATATATATAAAACTGCTTACAAATGTTATGTCAACCAATGTTTGGCTAGTCTATATTAATCAGTTTGGAGTTTAAAATTAATAGCTACATAAATATAATTTATCATTAATGCTACTAAGATTTGTTGGTAAGACTTGCCTAACATTGGGTCCAAGCTACTTTAAGTAATTTTGAGGAAATATCAGAGTTTTAATACACCAAAGAGAGAAAAGAAGAGAAGGATCAGTAACACAGCATTTTGCAGACACTTTTAAAATCAAATTTAAAAGGTTTTACTCACAATTTTGATTGTCTTTATCTTCTGTCCAGTTAATGCTTTCCAAAAGCAGTTTCTCATCCTCAGAAGAAACAATTTCTTCTACTACTTTGAGGCCTGGAGGGAAGGTTTGAAGCCCCAAATCTTTCCATTGTGCTGTGGAAAACCAAAGTAAAATAGTCACATACAAAACTTAAAGTTCCTACATACAAATAACTCTATCCAATAGCCATTTATCAGTTCAAAAAACTCCCAATCCTCATTTTATGAAACAAATGCTAAAAGGCATGAACACATTAAAAGTGCAAAACAAAGACCAAGATAAAAATTATGGTACGTTTTATCCATTGCAATTACCCACAGCAAATAGAAGAGTAGTTACTTAAATATTCTATTTGAACATGATTGAGTCATGTTTCAAATCTCACTAAGAAACAAAGTTTCTTGGTTCTGGACAAGATGGTGGCGTAGCTAAACACAGTACTCCCATGATCCCACAACCACATCAAAATTACAACTAAACTATAGAACAACCATCACTCAAAACTGCCTGAAATCTAGTTGAACAGAAGTCTTACCACTCAGGATATGAAGAAGAAGGCCATCAGGACTTATATGAGGGGCAGAGACATGGAATGAGCTAGTCCTACACCCCCATGTGGTGGGAAGAGAAGTTCCCGGGACTACTGGCTGTAAAAACCAGTGCAGACTGCAGCTGAGTGAGAGGGAGGGCTTCTGGAGCACCAAGCATCCCTCTTCAAGGGGTCATACACAGACTTACTGGGATGCATTCCTCCCAGCTCCAGCATAAGGGCAGCAGCTCAAAAGGCACCAAGAACACATGAGGAGGAACTGAATTTTCTGGCATCTGGGTGAGAGCTGGAGGGGCAGCTTTCTCCCAGACAGAAGTGCTGGCAGAGGCTACCATTCCTTTTCTGAGCCCTCCTCCTACAGAGCCAGCAGGTGAGCACCATACAGGACACCTACTGCATTAGGCCATACTACCAAGACAAGGAGTCAAAGCAGCTCTACCTAATACATAGAAACAAACACAGGGAGGCTGCCAAAATGAGAAGACAAAGAAACATGGCCCAAATGAAATAACAGATCAAAACTCCAGAAAAAGAACTAAACAAAATGGAGATAGATTGCCTATCAGATGCAGAGTTCAAAACACTGGTATATTATAAGGATGCTCAAGGAACTTAGTGAGGAGCTCACAGCATGAAAAGATCCAGTCAGAAACAAAGGTTACACTAATTGATATTAAAACAATTCATAAAGAACAATGATATAAAGAAAATGAGGAGATAACAAAACACATCCCAAATGAAAGAACAGAACAAAACTCCATAAAAAGAACTAAACAAAATGGAGACAAGCAATCTACCAGGTGCAAAATTCAAAACACTAGTTATAAGGATAATCAATGAACTCAGGGGAGAAGTAGATGGACTTAGTGAGAATTTCAACAAAGAACAGGAAACATAAAATGGGATAGAAAACACAAAAAAGCACCAGTCAGAAACGAAGACCACATTAACTGCAATGAAGGACACATTATAGAGAATCAACAGTGGAGTAGATGAAGCAGAGGATCGAATCAGAGATCTGCAAAATAAAGAAGCAGAAAACACCCAATCAGAACAGCAAAAAGAAAAAAAGAATACAAAAAATGAGGATAGTGTGAGGAGCCTCTGGGACACCTTCAAGCATATCAATATTTGCATCTTGGGGGTACCAAAAGAACAAGAGAGAAAGCAAGGAATTGAAAACTTGTGTGAAAAAAATAATGATGGAAAATTTCCCTAACCTTGTGGAGGAAATAGGCATACAAGTCCAGGAAGCACAGAGTCCCAAACATTATGAAGCCAAAGAGGACCACATCAGGACACATCATACTTAAAATGCAAAAGGTTAAAGACAAAGACAGAATCTTAAAAGTAGGAAGAGAGAAGCACAGAGTTACCTACAAAGGAGTTCCCATTAGACTGTCAGCTGATTTCTCAAAAGAAACTCTGCAAGCCAGAACAATTGGCAAGACAAATTTAAGTGATAAAGAACAAAGAACTACAACCAAGATTGCTCTACCCAGCAAAGCTATCATTTAGAATGGAAGGACAGATAAAAGAGCTTCCTAGACAAGAAAAAATTAAAGAAGTTCATCACCACCAAACCAGTATTACAAAAAATGTTAAAGGGTCTTCTTCAAGAAGAAAATAGAAAGAAAAATATATAAATAAAATGGCAATAAATACATAACTATTAACAATTACTTTACATGCACATAGATTTAAAAATGCTCCAACCAAAAGACATACAGAGGCTGAATGGGTAACAAAGCAAACCCCTTACATATGCTATCTATAAGAGATTCACTGTAGATTCAAATTACACATTTGAATCTATAGTGGAAAGTAAAGAGATAGAAAAATATATTTCATGAAAATGAAACAAGCAAACAAAAAAAGCTAGGGTAGCAATACTTACATCAGACAAAATAGACTTTAAAACAAAAGGCTATATAACAAGAGACAAAGAAAGACCCAGCAATTCCACTTCTGGGTGGTTATCAAAAGAAACCCAAAACACTAAATTGAAAGACATATACACCTGTGTGCTCACTGCAGCTTTATTTACAATAGCCAAGATAAGGAAGCAACCTAAGTGCCCATCAATAGTTGAATGGATAAAGTGGTACATATATACAATGGAGTATGACTTACTCATAAAAAAGAATGAAATATTGCCATCTGCAACATGGATGAACCTAGACGTTATTGTGTTGGGTGAAATAAGTCAGACAGAGAAATACAAATACCATATAATTTCACTTATATGTGGAATCTAAAATACAAATTAAACTAACAAGAACAGAAACAGCCTCCTAGAGAGAACATGTTGACAGCTGGCAGATGAATGGGGACTTGGGGAAATGAGTAAAAAAGGTTAAGGGATTAAGTACAAATGGAGGGTACAGAATAGTCATGGGGATGTAAAGTACACTGTAGGGAATATAGTCAATGATGTTGTAATAACTATGTATGGTATCATATGGGTACTAGATTTATCAAGGTGATCATTTAATTAGTCATATAATGTCTAATCACTGGATGGTACACCTGGAACTAATATAATAGTATATATTAACTGTAATTGAAAAAGGGAAAGTTATTTAAAGCAAAAAAGAAAAAAAAGAAAGAAACAAAGTTTTTCATAATATCTACAATATGTCCCTCTATAAACACATCAGGTTGTCTACACATACTGAAACTCCCAACTTAGGTATGAAAGGTAAACTCAAACAGAAGAAAGAACTAATTTTAAAAAGACACATGAATGGTAATACCTTTTTCTACATAATTCAAGTACAGAATGGTGCTTTGTCCTAGATCATCAACTATTTCTTTTCCATTGAGGGTAACATAGGCTTTCTTGGATTCTTCTACAGTTTTGTATCTCACAAATGAGTAGGGCTTACTGGGTGGCATTAAGAGAGCATCCACCTGTCCGAGTTTCTCCAAAACGGGAAGCAGTTGGTTCCTACTCACACCATTACCCAAACCACCATTGGCAACAACCAGAACCTTTAAAGAACAAACAAAAAAACATAGTTAACATGAAAAATTGATAGCAACTTATTTATTATGAAGGAATATTTTTAAATATTATAAAATAGGATTATTTTAAAATAAGATTTCTACAAGGGTGTAATTATAAAAGAAAAAGAGGTTTCCTTACAGTGGTTATTTAGTTTTCTAATTTCATACAAAGTATGTAAATCAATTTACTATATTTGGGGATTAAAAATACTCCTATATTTTAGATATTGATTTTTTAAATAGTCTTTTCAGTAAAATACTCATTTCTCTATGACCTACATACAAATTAAAAGATAACTTTTTACTGTTCATAGGTAAAACTTAATAAAAGAGAAAGAGGAGGGGAAAAGGAGAAGGAACAAGGAGTTACTAATACTCAATTTTTGCCAGACACTGGCTATATATCTTGTCCTACTTACACCTCATGAACATAATCTTCACAACAATTCTACAAACTGTGTAATATTAGCCCCACTTCACCAAGAAAGAAACTGAAGATCAGAAAATTAGATTAAGGTACTGATTAGAAGAAGCTGGGTTTCAAACTTATTCCTGTCAGTTTCCAGAATTCACACTTTTGGTATCACCATTATACAGTATTTAGTAAAAACTAAAAGTAAAGGTACTGGCTCAAAGAAAAAACAATTACAGATTATATTAAATATAAAATAGGAAAATTTTCCTCTAGGCCTGAGTCATTCATTTTGTAATTAAATTTTTTTCCTTTTTAAACTTCATGTTTACTCCCTGTCATTTGCAGTCTTGCACTACACTTCATTCAAAGGATTCTGATGATTATAGCCTAGTGCCCTTCTAATCTCTATACTAAAAAAAAAAAAATTCTACATGGTGTTAAGTTCTTTAATTTATGATTCATGACTCCTAAAAACTTTGTAGCATAACAAAAGTAAACCATTGACAGCCTACTCTCATCAGTTCCATCATTTTGGCCAACTTCTAAAAAAGGTCAAATAGTAAACATTTTAGGCTTCATAGGTCATATAAGTCTCTGTCACACAGTCTTCTTTTTATTTAACAACATTTAAGAATGTAAAACTCGCCCTGACCAGTGTGGATCAGTTTGTTGGGCATTGTACCACAAACAGAAGGGTCTCTAGTTCAGTTCCTTTTCAGGGCACATGCCTGAATTATGGGTTCAGTTTTAGTCAGGATGCATGCAAGAGGCACTGATTGATGTTTCTCTCTCCCACCTTCTCCCTCCTTTCCCCTCTCTCTAAAAATAAATAAAATTTTTTTTTAATGTTTTAAAATTTATTTTTAGAGAGGGGGAAGGAAAGGAGAATGAGAGAGAGAGAAACATCCAAGTGTGGTTACCTTTCACATGCCCCACATGGGGGATCTGGCCCACATCCCAGGCATGTGCCCTGGACGGGGAGTCGAACTGGCGACCCTTTGGTTTGCAGGCCTATGCTCAATCCACTGAGCTACACCAGCCAGAGCAATACATAAAATCTTTTTTAAAAATGTAAAACTCACTCTTACCTCACAAGCCAGATTTGACCTGAGGAGGGGAGTTTGCTGACACCTGATTTATACTAAATTGGAGATTAAAACATAATGCACTAGTGTCATTATATACAAAATGGGAATATCTAGAACCTTGTTTTAAAAGTATGTAATAGAATTGTTATAAAATTGGATAATAAGGAAAGTAAAGCACTATTCTTTTGGGGGACAGCCAATACTTTATATAAACAAGTATACATGTACCATAATAAACAAAAACACTAATACAAAACTATAAAATACAGTGCAAAATTTAGCCTCAGATGGCTTGTCCTGGACCTCATTCAGTGAGGTTCATAAATTAAAATACCAAAATAATTTGGTTATAAGCAGTCATCATTACAAAAACATTTCTGTATTCCCGAAACTAAGAAACTGCAAAGGTTTTGTAACTGGCAAGTGTCCACTGAGGAACTGAGGAAGATGATGAGGTGTGACCTAGAGAATACTAGTGACACTCAAAGATGCTATCTAAGTGATTTGCAGACAATTATAAGGGCAAACGACAAGAAAAAAAAGTTCAGTGTTTCCTATTACATATGAATTATACAATGTAATTAAATGCAATAGTTGTTTTATTTATAATTTTCAACCAAGACATTTTCCTAAAAATATGAAGAAGTCCAGAAATGTTTTAAAAGTTATCTTCAGTCTTGACAATTTGAAGGTCACTGCTCTAGAAAATTCTCACAATGTCCATAAATTTATACAAAAGCCGCTCTATTTATAACACATGGTGAAAAAGCATTTGTTCTCCCCTGGATAATTAACATATAATTAGAGGTCCTTCTATAATTGTATTCTTTTCCCTTAAATGTATTGTGGAGAAAAATATCAAGCCTAAATAAGATGACACTTTGGAAGCCACAAAGGTAAGAAGAAAGCTTGTAGAGGTACAAGAGAAAAGGTTGGCCCAACCAAAAACAAGCTTCAGTGGCAGCAAATACCCTGAGAGCATTTCTTTTCTTACCACTTCCCTTCACGACCCACATAGGGAAGAGAAAGCAAGTTACACTTGGGAAGAAATGAGTACAGGGTATGTCAATATAGTTTTCTGAATACCAGTCAGCTTCAGTGGCTCTTGGAAGAAAATGTTTGCAGACATATTAACCCTAATCTATTGTCTATCCCAACCTTTTTAAAGGTATTTGGTTTAAATTCTCTGAAGTCCTTCATATGTAACAAAATTTAAGTAAGAGCCTTACCTACTGAATTTCAACCTTCATCAACAGAGTACTTACTCCTAAATTGTGATGCAGCACAGAAGACAGCACACACGATACACGGGAAGAGTACTAGCATTGGTCTAAGAGACAAGAGACCTAAATTTTAATCCCAGCTTCACCTTCTCAGTTGTTGTCTTTGATCCTCAGTTAAATGATGGCTAAGCTTCCTTCCTACTCCTATCCTGTATCATAAGAATACTTGAAATTCACATGGTACTTTAATAAGTACTATCATGTACATGTTCTCTTAGAATCTAATAATCCAATGGGATAAAAAAATATGAAACACTATGTCCTTTCAAATTAAGAAAGCTGAGGTTAAAAGATGCTGCTCATGTCCAAATACGTGGAGGATCGAGGCCCAGGTAGTCTCAGTCCCACAATATGTAATTATTGCCATAAGGTGATTAAAAGGCTTTATAAATAAAATCTAATACATAAAAGTGGTTTTTTTGCATATAGTCAAAACACTTTACAATACAGATGAAGTAAGAAGAAAAGAGGGAAGACCACAAAAGATAAAGCTTTAGGTTTCAGCCACCTAATATCAATGGACATATCACAACCCCTCAAAACCTTAGTCTTCTCATCTATCTCATAGAGATTTTTAGGAAATTAAATATAATAAGGGATATGAGTATGCTTTATAAGCTGTAAACAGTGGTACAGTTAATACATACCCACAACTTTCTCTCAATCAACCAACACAATCAATGGAAATTCCAAGTACACTAAGGCTTTGTCCAAAAAAAAAGTTAGCAGGTACTAACGTGTATATTTAATAAAGACATAATTCATGACTGAACAATTACAGCCTTCTTCTCTGAGCAATTATTAACAAATACCCCTCTAATACATTAACATGGCAATACATTTACATTCAAATGGTAATAATAGTTGTAGGTCACCTGAGTGGCATAGGATACTGCTTCAATGCCTTCATGTCTCAGCAATGTATGCCTGGCTTTAATCTGTTTCCTTAAGAACTTCTTCTCAGTTCTGTTGAGTTTGCAATTACTTTGATGTTTGCTCTCCATGGCAATACTGAAAAAGCACAAAATGTCAACCTTAAGTGTCCTGAAGGGGCAATTATATTGATGCGATTCATATATAAGTACTCTATAGTTCATAAATATTTCTACATGACAATTTTTTAAATGCTTATTTTACCTTTTACTAACCAAAAGAAATGAAAACAAACAGATGCATGAACAATAAAGAAATACTAAGTAACAAAAAAGCAAGAACATCAAGCAGCATCTCTTGGAGTTCTACAAAACATTCCAATGCTCCAGCTCTATTAAGTGAGCTATTTTACCATAAGTGATGTATTCCTTTACTTATAAAGTTCTAGATAAAATGTGCCACAGGCAAATTTCACAAACATAATGTTAGGAAAGAAAAAAAAACCCCAAAATTTCACAGAAGAATATAGAGTATGATTCCATTTACATAAAGTTCAAAACCCAAAAGTAAAGCATAGAGTGTTTAGAAATATATATAGCAAAAAGCAAAGAAAAGCAAGGAAATGATAAACACAAAGTTCAGGAGAGAAGCTTTTCTGGGAGGAAAGAGAGGAATGTGATATGAAATAGACACATAAAGTCATCCTAAGTATTTCTTAAGCTAGAAAGTATTAAAAAGGAGAGGGATATCTCTCCTTTTTAACATTTATCTCAAGAGATTAGAAAGTCATAGGAGTCATCATTAGATGGGAAGGAGGTAGCTATAGGGATATTTTTAACATTGCACTAATTACGTATTTTTCTAATGTAGGTCCCCTTCTACCAGGCTATGAGTTCCTTAAAAACAGGGATTAAATTGTAACTTTTTGTTTGTTTCCCCAGAGCCTTCTGCAGTGCTATAGCACAGTGTAAGTATGTTTATGGGTTCGAGTTCCAGGTTCAAATCTCAGCTCTACCACTTAAGCTGATCCAATGTGAGTTAATTATTTATTTCTGTGCTTAGGTTTCTTCACCAATAAAATAGGAATACTGCCTATTTGGTACATAACTCCATGCAAACGCTGGACTAAAAAAGGTGACCAAACTCTAGCATGGCTTACAGCAGCATAAAGCCAAGTCCCTAGAATGACCCCAGCAACTCATTAAAATGCCTGCCTGAGAAAACTCAAAAATGCTACCAGGACATTTCACTATTAATTCTAGCAAAATCTGGCCACAGACTCCTGACCTCCCTTTCTTAGCACATTCACTAAAAAGGGCTTACAATTTTAAGTATGTATCTCTTGCAACTCAGAAATGTCTCTGAGAGCCATTCCTTCGAAATGCAGTCATCAGGAAGGATAGGGCCTGACTCGCAGTCTCGGTGGCAGGATAGAACCAAACTCTGATAACTGCCAGTAGCAAACACAGCTGGCCGACTTGCATTTGCGGACCAACCTTTTCCATTTGAGGAGGAGTGGAGTGGAACCCCCCCAAAACTGGAATTTTTTATTAAAAATTGTGTATTTATTACATATTTAAACTTGTCACCTTCACAGTACTCTCCATTTGATACAATACACCTATCAAGATGTTTTTTCCACTGCTCAAAACAGTTTGTGAACTTGTTCATTTTGGTGCCTTTTAGTGTTTCTGCTGTTTTTTGTTTCACCTCTTCCACATCAGCAAAACATTTCCTTTTGAGAACTTTTTTCATCAGGGAAACAAAAGAAAGTCACTCAGAGCGAGATCAGGTGAATAGGGAGGGTGGGGCACAGGGATCATGCTGGTTTTGGTCAAAAACTGCTGAACACTCAGTGCAGTGTGGGCAGGTGCACTACAAAAATCACCCATCAAGAAATGGACAAACACATTGAAAGTCTTCAAAAAAAATTCAGTGAAGCCAAAGCAGCCTCTTACAACACCACCAGCTAGTACACCAATACAGATGGGTTCCTAGAACACTCGCCTAGTGGGGGAAGCCTGTACTACAAGGGGCCCGACCTCTAGAAGATAATTCTAGGGGCTTTTTAGGGGTCCCTCCTCATAATTTCAATTCTCTCTATTAAGCACCTCATTCTACGCCCTCCCCATTTTCCCTATGAAACAAAATAAGGACTGAGCCTTTGGAGGGCTTTCTGCAAACAAAAATGGCTTTGGCCAGAGATTTCTACTGGCACTACTATTGTCAGGCACAAGGGCAAGTTTGGACACGAGTTTCTGGAGTTCAAGTTCCGGCCTGATGGAAAACTTAGATATGCCAACAACAGCAATTATAAAAATGAAGTCATGATCAGAAAAGAGGCTTACATACACAAGAGTGTAATGGAAGAACTGACAAGAATTATTGATGACAGTGAAATTACCACAAAAGAAGATGATGCTTTGTGGCCTCCCCCTGACAGGGTTGGCCAACAGGAGCTTGAAATTGTAATTGGAGATGAACACATTTCTTTTACTACATCAAAAATAGGTTCTCTCATTGATGTAAATCAGTCAAAGGATCCCGAAGGCCTTCAAGTATTTTACTATTTGGTACAGGACCTGAAATGTTTAGTTTTCAGTCTTATTGGATTACATTTCAATATTAGACAATCTAAATTATATGTTTTTGAGGCTATTTTTATATTTAATTAAGGGATTGGTAAGGGGGGTTGTCATTCACAATATCAGGATTTTTATGTATGTGAAGCAAACACATTTTTTGTATGCAAATTGAAAATAAGAAAATATATAAATAGGCTTAATGGTTATCTTCACTTGTCTCCAAGTGGGTTGGACAGTGCCCATACACATTAAATTCTGTAAATAAAAGACACCTTTTGTTGAAATTTTGCTGCAATAAAACTTATCACAACCTGGAAAAAAATTAATTTGTGCAGCTCTTTCCCTACTGTCAGCAGTTACTGAATAAAGAGTTTTTACTGCTTTAACTAATGTCTAGCGGTGTTAATCCTTGACACTATCACATAACTGTTAAAAGGATTAAATACATCTATTACTAAATTAGTTTCCAGAAGAGCCAGATCAGAATGGTTTAAGCAGTAAAGCTGAGGACCCTCAAAGGAACTATCTTATTGCCATTCCATTCCCAGGTCATCATCTTTGGAACAGCATCTTTGCTGTATGTGATGGAGAACAAGAGATGAATGCACTAATTTTTTTCTTAGCATGTTAACATAAGCAAAGACTGCAAAGTGGAAGAAATGAGAGAAAAATGTTGCAAACATCTTTTTAAAAGTCTGACATTAAGAGTTCAGCACCAGCAGGTGGAGCCTCATAATCATATTTCTGTCATTCCCTTCCCTTTTTTCCTTCACTCAGTCATGCAATATCATCATTACATGTGAAGAAACAAATCCCAACAGCTCTGGGGGCTCATTTGTTTCCCATTCCAGCGACTTGGCAATGCACTGGCCCAGCAGGTCTGAGTCACCTCAACAAGGAATAATAGGCTGATACCAGTTGTTGAGCTCTGGAGATGCTCCCTTTCTGACAAGGCCATTTCCCTGGCCAAAGAATTTCCACTATTGCACAAAGGCTTGGATGCTCCTTGCCATGTTACGGGAGTGTTATGGGATGTTACAGGAGTGAGATCCCTATTTACTGGAATACTACCCATGCAAGTCAAGTCTAATCATGTCCAGCCTAAGCACAATCTCTGTACGATAACAAGAGTTTAAAGATCACACATGCTCTGCCAGTAAGTTTAACCCCCATATACTCAATTGGATATTGCTCTAAGTGGTAACAGTAGTGTGTCCACACCCTCCTTGAATAACAGAATGCCTACAATGAACCAAGCACTATACACAAACATTCCTGTGCTTGTATATAAATTATACTTCATTAACAGCAAAGATTAGAAAGAACTTAAATTCCTATGAAATGAGGCCTGATTATGAAATAAATATAAGGCAGATAGATATACAGGGTATACATACAAATCTCCAAGACATACAAGAAATTTGTGATATGGGTTACCTTCAAGAAAAGGAAATGGGTAGACTGGTATGGGAATAAAAGGGAGCTTTCCTCTTTTGTAACTTTTGAATTTTGTAGCTAATCAAATTGCATTGCCTATTTAAAATTTTAAAAATTCAAAATAATTAGAAAAAATTGACCCCATCATTTTTCATATCACTCCATTTTAATTCTTTGAACACGTACTCCCTATTTTTATGCCCTCACTAATTTGTTTTTCTCCATCTTCTTCCTCTCATTTACTAGGAAGTAAGCTCTATGAAATGGGAAATTTGTCCGGATTGTTCAAATTGTACCACTCAGCACCTAGAACAGAATCTAGCACTTCATAAATGTTTATTGTGAAAGCCTAAACTTAAACTTACTAACCTTACCATCTTTCCGCCTAAATCTCTTCTTCATAATTCTGAATTCGAGGGCCACCTTAAATGCTTTCATTAATACTTGGTGAGCATCTCTATCTGTGTAGTTGTCACTTTGTGGTACAGCTGCCTGTTTGTGTGTTGCGCTCACCCAGAAGGCTGTCGTCAACTTAAGGGCACAGACTTGACGGCCTGGCATACAGCAGGCGCTAAGTATTTGTTAACTGAAATCAAAACCAAAAGCTGACACTAGCCCAAGGGTCTCTGGGATTACTCAAATAATAACACAGAAAGATTCAGTTGTGTGAGTTACCAGACCTCTAGAAATGCCTTTCCTTCACTGGATTGGCACGGGTCATAAAACCCCAAGAAGCGCCGAAATAATACTCCCCGGGTTGCAACCACCAGTTTCCAAAGGAAAAATTGATCGACACACGTCACATGGGCATCTGCACTAAACACAAACACACGCACTTCAAACACTGACAAAACCACCCAACAGAAAGACAACCTACTGCCCAGGGACTGCACCTGAGCAACACTGGGGACAGCATCCCTTCTCTGCTCCCTACGTTTTCAAACCAACGCGGTGATGACTATAGAGACCCGAACAGGCCAACAGGAAAGAGCGACGATTTCCAGACATGCCCGCGAGTAAGAAGTGCCCAAACCTCCGCCTCTGCTTAGGGGAGGGTTCTCGCAACCTGGGTGCTCTCTCCTTCGCCTGCCTCACCAGTCAACCCCAGAAAGCTGCCAAGGGTACTCGTAAATCACCTCACCTGGGTGCAGCCATGTTGGAAAAGACTGCACTACATTTCCCATGAGTCAGCAGGGCGAGGAAGGGAGTTCCCACAATCCCTTTCCCTTCTCCCAGAGGACCGGGAGTCGTTCTATGTTAAGGTGTTTGGCCAGTAAATCTGTCTGAGACGGTGAAAATTCGCTTGTCTTATTTAGGGAAATAGAAAGGGTTGGGAGTGCAGCTTATTTAGGGTAGCTCCCCAGGGAGACATGGTCAAGCAGATTTGTGTTCCTCGGTCCCTCAGTAACGCACCCACCTCGCGGGCTCTTCCTGCACCTCTCGTCCTGAGCTTTCGAGGAATGGGATAGGGCCCCAGAGTCTGAAAGATGACCTTGCATGGGCCAGAGAGAGGGAGGTGAATATACGTGAGGTGCCAGGGGAATGGTTAGTACCACAGAGTAGGAAGAATGTAGAGGGTGGTAGGACAGGAAAGGTGGGCTGCGCCAAATTATAGAAGATTATATAATTCTGTTCTGCAGGCGTAAGGGGACCCCTGGAAGGAATGGAGCAATATAACCAGAGCTGCTCGTCGAATGTGGAAGGAGAGACTGGAAGTAAGGAGACTATTTAACAGGCTGTTGCAATGGTAAAGTAGAAAGCAACAAATTATTAACTGGAACACAGTAGTGGCAGACAGAAAGGAAAATTTTGAAATAAAAAGACACAGAAGAGAGTGATGATTAGCCATTGTTCCTGCTCTGATGTTATTTGTGTGATATAAACATGTTTTAATCATTGTGCCCACGTTGGATTATGAGCTATTAAGTGCAGGGAACGAAACTTGAGAGTGGAAGGGAAATTACCGTACTTTCCTGAAGTCTCGGTGCAATACCCCTATCCACACCCGCACCACAATGGACTATCAAAAAAAGTTAAGTCTGGATGATCAGTCAGTGCCATTAGTGGCACTGACAAAAGACTGCTGTTTGGAGGAATGATTTGTATGAAGAACAGACTGGAAGTGAGAAAGTTGGGAGGCAGATAAGCAGCCATTGAAATAGTCCAGGAAGAGGAGTGAGGTTAGAACTGAATAGCAAAAGTGAAACTAGCAAATGTAGGCTGAAGAAGTCAGATCCACCAGACTTTGCAAACTACTGAAGAGGGTGTAGGGAAAACCCCTCATCATGATCTTGTTTCGACATTACCAGTTGCTTTTAAAAGCACGTTTTTATAGGACTCCCTCTTATGATGGAAATGTTTTATAATGTGAGTTGTCCTATATGGTAGCCACAGGCACATGTGGCTCTTGAGCATTTCAAGTATGGCTAGTACAACTAAGGAACTAAAGTTTGAATTTTTTTTAATTATAAATACCTGCATGTTACTACTGGCTACCAAATTAAACATCAATGTAAAATATTCCCCTGTCTCTTATTGGCCAAATTCAATTATTTCATTTCTGTATCCATCCTACTTGAAGGTACTGAAGCTTTTAAAACTTTTGAATTCCTTAGCCTCCTTGAAACTACTCTTACTCTTTACACATTCTAATCAATTGTTTTCAGAGTTTTCCACTAGCTTCCCTCCCTATTTCCCCAATTAAATGTAGGCAGTGCTTCAGGTTTTGTGTTTGAACCTTTTTTCTTATTCTACAGTTTTCCCCTGGATGTTTCCCGGAGTTTTGATGAGATTTGCAGATCATTCCCTAATACTTATTTTCAGGCTTGACTTCCCTTTCTTCAGCCCAGGCTTCCATTTAGGAGGCAGTTTAGTTTAGTAAAAACAATATGGACATTAGAGTATGACCTGAAGTAGAAACTGCAAAGTAACATTTACATTTTGGGATTGAAGTAATAATTAACTACCACACCTAAAGTAGCCGTAAATGGTTCATTCCTTTTCCAGTCTTCTGCTCCTGAGTTACAGGCCCAATTTTCCAACAACCTACTGTCTGTCCTTGCTTCCATGTCCTTAGGAAAAGGTGGATACATGCAAAATTTTGCATGCAACCCTTTTATCAGGCCTTTATCTTTTCTTTCAAAGCAGGTGACTCCCTGAGCCAATTTTTAGTTACATTAAGACCCTATTTTATTTATTATATAATTCCAGTGTCTTCATAGTCTTGTAATAGGAATTCAATAAATGTTGAACTGAAAAGGAAATTAATTTGAAGATAAACTATCTTCACCTGTGCCAAAAGCTTTCCATGCTGATGTATAATTCTTCAAAGGTATTGCATGCTGACCTAATGATTCTTAGTAAAACCCTAGTCTCAGCTTCAGTCCTATAGATAACTAATGCAGGGGTTGGCAAGATTTTTCTGTGAAGAACCAGATAATAAATATTTTCAGCTTTGTGGCCACATAGTCTCTGGTCACATATTCTGTTTTTGTTTTGTATAAACAACCCTTTTAAAATGTAAAAAGTATGCTTAGCTCCTTTGACTTATACCAGTGGGATTTGGCTCATGAGCTATAGTTTGCTGACCCCTGGACCCTTTTTTTGGACTCTGTAATCCTAAGCACAGTCTCAGTGAGGCAGGAGGTAGTCAGGAAGGAAGCTCCCGAGGCCCCGCAGGGCTGAGGTAGAAAACACCTATACATGACAAAGACCCCCTAAGACGGGTTGTTCCTGTTTTCTGGGATAACTCTGAATCATAGAATGCGCCTGCGCGCTACCCCTGATTCATTATAATATCATTATAATGAAATAACATTGTGGGACTCCCTTCTCCAGTAGCCAATCAAGAAAGTCATGGGAAACCACGCATGCGCAGTAGCTTTGAAATCCAACTCCTTGTACCTGCGCAGGAAAAGCCCGCCAAAGACTAGCAGGGGGCTTCTGCCCCTATAAGAATAGAATCCCCCCAGCCCACGTGCCCCCTTTTTTTCCTCTGCTCAGAGCTGGCTCACTCCCGTGTCCTGTGGTGTGTACTATCACTTAATAAACCTCCCCTCTTTCTTTATGCTATAAACTTTGTGTGTTCGGTTCAATTCTTTGTTCTCGATCACTAAGAACCTGGTTACCTGTGCACACCTGTGCACACCTGTGACAGTTGTTGCACTCCAGACAACTTGTCCACATACTAGCACCTCTAGCTGGAAAAAGGCAGGAGAGTCTCTGTCTTTTCATCCAAGAAATAAAGCTGCCAGTGGGCCCCCGTTACTTTGATCACACACTGGTTACATCATAGGTAGAATAATGGGCTCCCAAAGATAACCTCACTCTAATCCTTGGAACCTGCGACCATGCAGATATGATTAAATCTATAGGCCTTAAATTTCCTAGAGGCATAGTACAACCCCACAATTTAAGAGCAGAATATTTTCTTTGGCTTGAGCAAGAGAGATCAAACAGAAGTCAGATTCCAAGTGTGAAGGACCATTAGGTGAAGTCCATGTGCAAGGACAGGAGAAAGGCTTCTATGAGCTAGGGGCAGCCCGTAGCTAATAGCCAGTAAGGAAATGGGGACCTCAGCCCTACAACCAAACAAAATCCAACAAAGACCTGAATTCTGCCAACAATGTGAATAAACGTGGAAGTAGATCCTTTCCAGAGCATTGATAGGAGCCTGGCCAGCAGACGACTTAATTCTGTCCTTATGAAACTGAACGATGAGAAACCAATGAGCCAACCCAAACTAATAACAAACAGAACTGTGAAATAATAAATGTGCTGATTTGTTACAGCTGCAATAGAAACTATTCCACATGCTCACCCCAGACCAATCACTAGCTAAAGGAAGGAGAATTGCTGTGGCTGCTTTAGGACCATCATGATTAATTCCATGGGGCTGGGATAAGGCCTGTCCCTGAGATCAGGACACTTTGATAGACTATACTCTATCTGCAGAAAAATAAAACTAGGGTTCTATTAGCAAGAAAAATGTGGGCAGTCAACAGGATGTTTCAGAAGGATGGTTGGGTTATTATAACCATCTGGCTGGGTTATTATAATCTGATTTGCCTCAAAACCTGAGAGAAGGGGATGCTAGAAGGGTAAGCACTCCCATAACTAATAAAGCATTCAAAGGTAGAATTCCAGTAGCTATTAAAATTCTACTTAAAGGTTCATCAATCAGGAAAGGTCAAAAATGTTCCCGACAATTCTTGAAAACTTCTATTTTTACTATGACTCCAAAATGTGATACTGTTTCACTGCAGTTTCAAATTCACTTCCTGTACTGATAAGATTTCTAATTTCCCTTCCCCTTCTCAACCCAGATCATGTTTGTTTTTGACCACCGTGTGGTTTTTTCCCCCCTTGTCCTCAGCAGCAAGTTTTGCTTTTTTTCTTATTTCTGGTTAAAAAAATAATACTTTCATTCCTCAGTCTTTCCTCTCCACTTATTCTTTTGCTACTTACTTTATCCCTCCTGGGTAAATGACAAATTCGTATCAAATTTCCTTTTCAAACTTTGGTCTTCTCTGCTGCTTCCCTGGATTGTTGGCTTCTTGAAACTGCAGCAAGAATGCATTATATAAAACCATTTGATGTTCACTGTAACATTTCAGGACTCAATGCGTTATTCATGCCGTGGCGATAAAAGTTCCATGAAAATTTGTGGTTTTACAATTCATATGGTGAAAGTAATCCCATGCAGTAATTAGAGGAAAAGTAACCAAAAAAGATGTATGAGAAAAGGGGCCAGCCTTCTAATTTGTAATACAGAATATATAAAACTCTGCTTTGAAGATTTAGTCAGTTCCAAAACAATTTGTAAAGCATTAACCTCTACCCCAGAGATGGCTTATTTATTCCTGAAGTTGAAATCCTGCTTTCTTCATAATGGTTTTTTGCATCATACTTTCAAGTAGAAGAGAATTAAGAGAGACAGTTCAGGGTGCAGGAAAATCTTTAAGGTGGCCAGAGGAGTGGGATTTGTGGAATTTTAAAGTTATGATAAAATGGAACAATTTTCAAAAAAATGTCTTAACTCTACAAGAAAAAATCTCTTAAAAGTTTATAAACAATTCATAAATGTCTAACTACTTTGATGGTTTCATACTGTCATTACTTTCTCAAAGATCCAAAAATACAAAGATACTTGCTCA